CTCAGTCCAGTTCTGTGCCCTTGCTGGAGAGGTGTTGCAGTCACTTGTAGAAGAAGAGGCACTCTGGCTTTTTGAGTTTTCAGCATTTTTGCATTGATTTTTTTCTCATCTTTGTGGGCTTATCTACCTTTGAGTTTTGAGGTTGCTGACCTTTGAATGGAATTTTTTTGAGGTCTTTTTTTGTTGATGCTGCTGCTGCTGTTGCTTTCTGTTTGTGTGTTTTTCTTTTAAAAGTCAGGCCACTTTTCTGTAGGGCTGCTGCAGTTTGCTGGGGGATGGCTCCAGAAAACTGGAAGTTGCCTTGATTTTTCCTCTACCTGGAGGTATCAGCAAGTAAAGGCTGTGAAACAGCAAAGACAACAGCCTGCTCCTTTCTCTGGGAGCTTTGTCCCAGTGGGGTATTGGTCTGTTGCCAGCCTGGAAGCTCCTGTAGGAGGTATCTGAAGACCTGTGTTGGGAGGTCTCACTCAGTCAGGAGGGATGGGATAAGGGACCTTCTTAAAGAAGCAATCTGGCTCCTTTTTGGTAGAGCAGGTGTGCTGTGTTGGGGATAGCCCTTCCTCATCCAGACTGCCTGGACTCTCCAGAGCCAGCAGGCTGGAAAGGCTGTTGACTGAACTGCAGAGACATCAGTCATCCCTCCCCACAGTGGCTCCATCTTAAAAGAGATCAGAGTTGTGTCTGTATAACCCTGGCTAGAGTTGCTGTAATTCTTGCAGGGAGGTCCCACCCAGTGAAGGGGGATACATTGGGGTCCCATTTAAAGAAGCAATCTGCCCACAATCTGGCACAGCAGCTGTGCTGCATTGTGCAGCACTCCTCCTCATGAGGACTTCTTGAACGTCTCAGAGATGGAAGGCTAGAAGGACTGAGTTGAACAAACTGCAGAAATGGATGGCACCTGCCTCTACCCCCGGGAACTCATCCATCTCAGGCAGTCTCCAGCCTGTTGTGCTGTCTGGCAGCAATTCCAAGGTGGTGGCTCTTAACTTGTGAAGTGCCGCGGAAGTGGGGCCCACAGAATGACACTGCTTGGCTCTCTGGATTCAGCCCTATTCCTAGGGGAGTGTACAAATGGATCTCCTGCCTTGCTGGGATTCCTGGGGCCAGAGTATGTAAAACTCCTGGGTCTCTGTGTGAGCCTGAGCATCTGCTTTGCCAGGACTCCGTGTAGGTCTGTGTATCAGACTCAAGGCTCTGGTGGCATAGGCTAATGAGGGGATCTCGTGATCGGTGGGTTGCAAAGATCTGTGTGAGAAGTGTGGTTTCTCACTTTTCTTACTCCTGCAGCAGATAAGCCACACATACATTGTGCATGGTCACACAATCACTTACTGCTTCTCTTGGCTGGGGTTGGGGGTTCCTTTGGTTCTGTGCCACTCTTGGGTAGGCCATTGCCCCACTCTACTTTTCTTCATTCTTTCTGGGTCAAGCCATTTGCCTAGTTGGTCTCAATGGAAGAACCTGGATATTTCATTGGAAAGTGCTGAATTCACTCACCGTTTTTATTTTCCATGAGAGCCATGGACTGCAGCTTTTTCTAGTCGGCCATCTCAGTTCCTCTTGGTAGCATTTTAAAAAGCAGTTTAAGTATTATAATTCTATATTTGGGGAAAAACCTACTGTGGGAATACTGTCCTAAGAATCAGGAAGGTGAACATATCAGAATCTTGGTGGCAGGCACACCCCTAGCATTTTAAAAAAATAATAGCTTTATTGAGCTATAATTCTCACACCATAAAAGTAATCATTTTAAAGAGTACAGTTCAGTGGTTTTCAGTATATTCACAAAGTTGTGTAATTATCACCCTTATCTAACTTTTGAGTTTTACCTCTCTGAAAAGAAACCCTATAGCTATTAGCAGTCACTTCCTATTCTTCCCTTCCTCAAGCCCTGGCAACCACTAATCTACTTTCTCTCTTGATGAATTTACCTTCTCTGAACATTTTTTTTAACTTTTTTTTTTTCTGGGGGCAGGGCAGGTTGGGTTAGGATGGCTGCCCTCAGGACATGCCCCTCAACATTTTATAAATGAAATAATATAATATTTTGTTGACTTTCGTGGTGGCCTCTCTCACTTGGCATAATATTTTTAAGGTTCATCCATGTGGTAACATGTATCAGTACTTCATTCTGCTTTATGGCTAAATATTCCATTTTGTGGTTACAAGTTTAATCTATTTTTTTTTGAGATGGAGTCTCACTCTGTTGCCCAGGCTGGAGTGCAGTGGTGTGATCTCGGCTCACTGCAGGCTATGCCTCCTGGGTTCATGCCATTGTCCTGGCTCAGCCTCCTGAGTAGCTGGAACTACAGACACCTGCCGCCATGCCCGGCTAATTTTTTATATTTTTAGTAGTGATGGGGTTTCACCGTGTTAGCCAGGATGGTCTTGATCTCCTGACTTCGTGATCCGCCCGCCTCGGCCTCCCAAAGTGCTGGGATTACAGGTGTGAGCCACCGTGCCTGGCCCAAATTTAATCTGTTTATCAATTGATGGAAATTTGGGTTTCCACTCTTTTGGCTATTATAGATAATGCTGCAATGAACTGTTGTATGAAAATTTTTCTGTGGTCACATGTTTTCCTTTTTCTTTGGTATATTGCTGAGTTACAAACTGATTTCCATTTTATATTCCCACCAGCAGTACATGAAGATTCAAATTTCTCCACATCTTTGTCAGCATTTGTCATTATCTTTTTTAAAAAAATTAGCCATCCTAGTGGGTATGAAGTGGTATCTTAATGTATTCTGATTTGCATTTCCCAAATTACTAACAATTTTAAGCATCTTTTCATGCTTACTGGCCATTTCTGTATTTTCTCTGGAGAAATATATATTTGAATTGCTTGCCCATTTTTATTTTTTCTTTTCCTGGTCATTAAAGGGAAGAATCTTTTCCTTCCTTTCTTTCTCTCTCTCTCTCTCTCTCTTTCTTTTCTTTCTTTCATTTTACGACAGGCTCTCACTCTGTTGCCCAGGCTGCAGTGCAGTGGCACAGTTATAGCTCACTGCAGCCTCAACCTCCCTGGGCCCAAGCGATCCACCCACCTCAGCCTCCCAAGTAGCTGGGAGTACAGGGGTGTGCCACCACACCTGGCTAATTTTTCTACATTTTTGTAGAGACAGGGATTTGTTATATTTCTTAGACTGGTCTCAAACTCCTGGGCTCAAGTGATTTGCTTCTACCTCGGCCTCCCAAAGTTCTGGAATTACAGGTGTGAGCCACCACACCTGCCCTTGCCACCTTTAGATTGGATTGTCTTTTTATTTTTTAGTTGTATGAGCTCTTTTTGTGTTCTGGATACAAGTCTCTCATCAGAAATATGATTCTATTTCCTCCCATTCTCTGGATTGTCTTGTCATTTTCTTAATTATGTTTTGGAACACAAAAAACTTTATTTGGATTGAGTTCAATTTATCTGTTTTTCCTTTGTTGCTTCTGCTTTCTGTGTCATATCTAAGAAACCATTGCCAATCCAAGGTCGCCAAGATTTAATTCTATGTTTTCTTCTAAGAGTTTTGTAGTTTTAGCACTAATGTTTAGTTCTGTGATATATTTTGAGATATATATACATATATGTATAATGTGTGTGTACATATGTGTGTGTGTGTATATATATATGTATTAGGCCATAGGGGTCCAATTTAATTCTTTTGCATGTGTATAATCAGTACCTAAGATTTTTATGTTTATCAAAAGGAGTTGTGGATTTTTAAAGGTTAAGACACTTAACCCAGTCCAGGTATTACAGTATGACAGAATGCTTCTTGCCATCTAGAACTAATATGAATTATATGATCTGTTGAGCACACCCATAGCACTCACCTAGGAGCCTACCACTTAGTTTGTGAGTAGAACATACCTGAAAAGATAATCTAAGTGCTCTGTATGATCAGAGAAGCCTAAGTATAAAGAGAAAGCATCACGAAGAAAGAAGAGTTTCCTGAAAGGATGGGTAGCCAGCGTGAAGTAGGAAGGAAATTCTGGAATGAAAACACAATATTATGATCAAAAGTGGAAATGTGGGAATAAGGAAGTGGCCAGTACCCATCTGGCTGATTGTAGTTGAGTCTGTGTCAAGGTACATTAGAAATGTAGAAAATAGAGGTATTGAAAAGTTAACATGTGAACATTTTATTGAAACTACTAAATTGTAAACGTAGAAGTTTAGGCTTTATTTTTTGGGGCAGCGGGATGCCATTTAAAGGCTTTGGGGTGGGAGAGAAGAGAGATTAAGTAGGGGAGGATAATCTGGCCTAGTTTGTAAAATGGATTGGAGGGAGAGGAGACTAGAGAAAGTGAGATGAGTATAGTTTAGGAGTGAGATAATTAAGACCTGAATTATTTTTTATTTTTTAAGATTTTGTGTTTTGCTTAATTTGTTTTTCAATTACTTTTTTTATTTTTTTATTTTTATTTTTTTAGATACAGGGTCTTGCTATGTTACCTAGGCTGAACTTGAATTCCTGGGTTCAAGCAGTCTTCCTGCCTCCGCCTCCTAAGTAGCTGGGACTGTTTGATATACAGTTATTCCCACCTCTCTACCAGTACCATTAACCTGGCCCAGCAATCTCCCCTCCTTCCCTTCTCACCTATGAAGATTTACCTCTCCCCCCCAACCCTCTATATCACATGTTCTCTAAGCATCTTCACATCATAGAATGTTAGATCTTGATGGAACCTCTGAAATGAACCCTGACTTCGCAGTGAAGAAAGTGAAGAGGACAGAGGTTTAGCGTTTATTCAAAATTATTCTCATCAATGGCAGAACTAAGGATAATAATACTGATTATATGGGAAATGTGACCTCACAGCTTTAAATATAATGAAAAGGAGAGACTATTTGAATGACATACCAACAACACCAGGGTTGAATTAGTAGCTGGTTCAGGCCGGGACAATCTAATTATTCCATGCTTATTGTCTTAAAAAGTGGCTTCATTTTGTTTCATATTGCAAACTAATTAAATGTAATTTTAAAATCTGTTTCCTTTCAGGTCAAGTGAAAAGTGCTAAATCTATAACAAGCCATGACCAGAAGAGAAGTCAAGATGATACCTCCCACTGAACATACGCTTTGTAAAAGGCCACATTTTCTTCTAGTATCTGAAAGACAAACCTATTCATGCCATTTGAAATTGAGAAAACAGATGTGGGTTTCTTTAAGTATTTAAGTACAACATTACATCACCCTTGTTTTGTTTGACCTGTTCAGCATGCTTATGTCTGGACCCTCTGGCCTCGCCTCTGCTCCTCCAAGCCCAGCCCCATGTGAGTTTCACGTGCTCCTTCAGGAAAGCACTTGGGTATAAATCATTAGGCTTTAAGAACTACTCAGAGAATCTAATGATTTTCTGTGTAATTAAGGCATTCCATATAAAGGGACATATTTGGCTATTTCCAGAGAAAAAAATTGTTCTCCCTCTCTAAAAAGGAAATCTTATGGAATGACACTTGGAGCAAGGAAATATTAAGACTGGCGTAGATTAGGAGCCTCTGGGTACAGCTATCACTTTTTATGTCCAAATTAAAATTCACCTGTGAGGTGGGATATACCTCTGAGTAAAACTCCTCTTTATCTTTGACCTCCTTCTATCTGTCAATTAATTAACACAAATCTGTATAGTTTTTAGATTTAGAAGAGTTCTCCTATTCTATAAGGCTGGCAATACAGATATTGTAACTGGACTGAAGGTCATTTCCCCTCCCATTCTGTTTTATATTTCCTAGGTTTTAAGTACCATAGTTGGTTTCATATTGGTGGTTTGGAAAGCCTTTTTTCTAGTTTATTTAATCAGGCGCAACCTTCTCTTACGTTGTGACTTTATGGAAAAGTTTTGTAGAAAAGAAAATGGTTTTTAAAAAGCATTTATTGTTTGTTCTTATGACTTTCTCTTCTTTGTCCTGTTCTGAAAGCCAGTTTTCCCTTATGGGAGAAGGAAAAGGAATGGGTAATTCAGTAATACTTGGTCAGTTGACATGTATTTAACCATGGTTTTGAGATAACTCTGTTTTAAATGTCTCCCAAAATTTTAAGTTTTTTATCTTTTTAATGTATGAGCAATTCAGTTTCAATTTTTTAAAGCAAAAGAATACTGCAATAACTTTCACCCACCTTTTTGGCCGACCCAGTGGGTGTTTATGGAGCAGTACAAAGAAGACCTGTGTTTGCTCCTTTTTCTTTTCTTCTTTCCTTCTCCCTTCTCCCTTTTCCCTTCCCTTCCCCTTCCCTTCCCCTTCCCTTCCCCTTCCCTTTCCTTCCCTCCCCTTCTCCACCCTTCCCCTCCTTTCCTCTCCCTTCCCTTCCCCTCCCCTCCCCATCTTCTTCTCTTTCCTCCTCCTCCTCCCTCTCCTCCTCCTCCTCCCTCTCCTCCTCCTCCTCCTTCTTCTTCTTCCTCCTTCTCTTCTCTTCTCTTCTTTTCTCTTCTATTCTCTTCTCTCTCCCCACCCCCACAACCCCTTCTTGACAGGGTCTCCCTCTCTTGCCCAGGCTGGAATGCAGTGGAGTTATCATGATCATAGCTCACTGTAACCTGTAACTCCTGCACTCAAGTGATCCTCCCACCATGCTTGGGTAATTAAAAAATAAACATTTGCAGCCTGGGTGCTGGCTTACACCTGTAATCCAAGCACTTTGAGAGGCCGAGGCAGGTGGATCACCTGAGGTCAGGGGTTTGAGACAAGCCTGGCCAACATGGTGAAACCCTGTCTCTACTAAAAATACAAAAATTTAGCTGGATGTGGTGGCATGCACCTGTAATCCCAGTGACTTGGGAGGCTGAGGCAGGAGAATCACCTGAGCCCGGGAGGTGGAGGTTGCAGTGAGCCGAGATTGCAACACTGCATTCCAGCCTGGATGACAGAGTGAGACTCCATCTCAAAAAATAATAATAATAATAAAAACAAATAAAAATTTGCAGAGATAGAATCTTGCTACGTTTCCCAGACTGGTCTTTGAGTTCCTGGCCTCAAGCATTCCTCCTGACTTCGCCTCCCAAAGTCCTGGGATTACAGCTGTGAACCACTACGCCTAGCCCATTCTCTTAATACAGTATATTGTGCGAAGACCAGTGTCCTTAAGCACTGCAATAATTTAGGAAAAGTCCAGGTGCCATTTTTGTCCTTTCTATTCTAACTCTACATTTTCTGAGCTTGGATTTTGAATACAACATTACTTTCCAGGAGTGTGTTCCAGATTAGGGAGGGATTCCTGGATTCTTACTTCAAAGATTTCTAAATTAGACCAAGGCATTTCTGGAGACCCCTTAGTATAAAATAAACCTATTTTCCCTCTTTATTAATCTTTCAATCCTTATCCTCAAACTTTGTATAGCTTTTGATACATTTGCTGATGCTATTTTTAAACTCCTTGTGTTGGCACTTTTATGCCAGTTATGATTCCTCTACTCTCTTAAAACTGCTTTTCTAACTCCTTCACCAGTTCCTCTTCTTCCTCTTGCCCCCAGTTGTGGGAATTTCTCAAAATTCAATCCTAACCTTTGGTAAAGCAATCTGTAATTCTCTATTCCATGACCTTCCCTGTCACCAGTATTATGAAGAATGAGTCCTTCCCTCTTTAGGGCACGCATAGTGCAAATAGCCTCATACTGTATTCCACTTAATTGTTCACAAGTTTGTCTTTCTGTGTGAACTGTGAGCTTTTTGAGGGTAGGGACTTTGTTTTGTTCTTTTTTATACCTAAAAAGTCTGTAAGATAGTAAGTTAGTAAATAACTTAATGAATTACCTTTTAGTAATACCTTATACATAGAACTCATTACCTCTTCATTAATTTATAGAGCTTGCGCACCTTTATAAAAATGACTGCCAACACTGATCTCCATATTTTGCCCCGTTTTAACTCCTACTCCTCTAGCAGATAAGCCATACATACATCCAACATTGTAACTCTATGCCTAATTTCTCCTCTGACTTTCTATTTTCTGAGCCTTCACCTTGAATGTCACTTTACTTTTTGGCATGTGAACCAAGTGATTACCAACAAATTCCTAGATCTCATGTCAAAGATTTCTTTGATGTGAGAATCTGAACATTTATTTATAGCTATGGATTTATAATTTTAGTCAATTTTGAGAGATATAGTATATCTTGTTACATATTGTTGCACTGAATTATAGATATATTCATAGGAGAATTTAAATGCCCTTAGGCTTTGAGTTTGAGCTGTTACATAGGTAGCTGCATGGCTTTTTCTGAACATCCACAAAGTAATTACTATTCAAAGTGCATACTAATAAATCAATGAAGCCTCCAGATTATTTGGGAAGTAGTCAATCAAAGGCTAAATTCAATGTTATAACTTTTAGACAGTAGTTCTTTAGACTTCTGTATTTAATTAACCAGAAAAAATGTAAAAAAATAAGGGGAGGAGATTGATAGGACATCATTAAGGAAAAAACTACTATCTACTGTCGCTATCATTTAACAAAAGACATTTTAACACCAGAAAAGGGAAGAGATCTCAGTGTAGGGCTCTGCCCTTTAAGTTAAATAAATTAAGTTTTATTATATATCTTTATGTTATATTTATTTTTCTTATTTTGTCATATATGATGGAACTTTTGTCATGAATCAGAACTGGCCAGTGGTCCAGCCTTTGAGAACGACTGCTCTGGACTAAGTAGGTTGCTATTTAGATTAACATGATGCCCCCAGATTGTAAAGGACTGACAGTTACGCCCATGTTCAATCTAATATGTGGTAGATTGTATTTTCCAAGATGGCCACATTTCCCTTCCCACGTGCTCTTCTTACAATATGGTCATGACATTCCTTGCATAGAGAGAGATGTCTCTGTTCTTTCCTCTTGAATCTGGGCAGGCTTGTCACTAACAGTGGAAGTGATTCTGTGTGATTTCTGAGGCTAGATCATAGAAGGTGATGAGGCCTCTGCCTAACTAGGGGAAATGCTTTCTCTTGAGATGCTCACTCTTGATCAGCCTATAGAAAGATCCACAGGGAGGAACTGAGGCCCCAGCCCACAGCCTTGGTTGAGCTCCAGCCTGCAATCATCCCCAACTTGCCAGCCATATGAGTGAGCCATCTTAGAAGCAGATCCTCCAGTCAAGCCAGCCCAGCTGATGCTGTATGGAGTGGACACAAGCCTTCTGTGCTGAGCCATGCAAAAAATTGCAGACTTGTGAATGAAATAAATGATTGTTGTTGTTTTAAGCTACTCAGTTTTGTGTTTGTTTGTTACTTAACAATATATAAATCACAAGTTTTACAACTTGGAAGTGAGAAATTGACATAACAAAACCTAAAATATGTGTCATTGTCTTTGGGACTGGATGGTAGGCAGAGGACAGAAAGGCCTGGAGGAGGGTGTGGGTGAAAGCTATAGGCCTTCAAGTGCAGTCTTAGCAGAAGCCCTAGGGCCTTCTAGGAGGCTATTGGTGAGTTTACAGTAAAGAGAGGAAAATGCTATTGGAAACTGGAGAAACCTTTGTTAGGAGACGGTAAGTTTGGCCACATTTTGTCTAAGTAATGAACTCGATGACCCTGCTAAGGATATTTCCAGACTGAGTGTTCAAATACCACCTGGCTTCTACTAAATGAGAGGAGAGAGAGAAACTGAGAAGGAACATTTCAGCTTGCAAATAAAATTTAGAAGATACAGAAAAGAGCCAGTGCTCACTGGCTTTGAAAATAAAATTGCTTTTCATTCCTATCCTTTCTAGATGGCAAAAAGTTCTCCACCTAAGGAATGGTTTCTGGGAAAAGATAAAATCTATGGTGGAATTATAAAGTCATTTGTTAAGAATTCAGAAATATCTAAGGTCATGCTTTATAGGACCTTTCAGACTTTAGGTGGGCTTTCTCCATGCAGCTGGGAAGGTGGCCTCTAGCTGCCCTGGGCAGCCATCATCACCACTAAACCTAAGTGGAGAGAGAATAGCTGTCTCCCAATAATGTAATATACCAATCTAGGGAACCATCTAATTGGTATTGTCTGAGTCCATGTCCACTCCTGAACCATTATAATGTTAGGAGGATGGGAAACTGACTAACCCCCCTATGTTATGTGTCTATCTCAGTTAAATGGTATTATCTCTTTTCAGAAGATGGAGTTAGGAGAAAACACACTGGGCAGCCTGTCAGCAGTCAACTCCCCAAATTGACCAGAATCTCCTTCAGCTGGATTTATAAAAAATGGTGAAATATAACTTTATTATTGCTTTAAAAAAAAGCTCCATGGGAAAGGATAAAAAATTTGATCACCTCTATATTTTAGTTAAGTGCTTTCTTTAGTTTTCAGAACTATGTGTAAGCTAGCTGACTTTATGGATTTCCTCCAAGTTTTCCTGAAGTATGAGAATTTTTCTAAAGGCCATGGGGAATCTGAACTTCGAAACTTAGATTCAATCTACAGGAGTCTTAGCTGCAGGGCTTAGGTGAACCGAGTGAGTCTGAGGGGACTGCGGTAGGATAGGAACTAGGTAGAACCTGGAAGGGCATTACTCAAACTGATCTGAGGCAGTGCTGAGATCAGTTTGACTAAGGAGGGAGTCAAACTTAATTTTGAGAGGAATCAAGGTGACAACCAGTATATAGATTAGGTGAAGATCAGAACGGGAGGGTAGTGAACTTGGTAATGAAGTGAGTTAAGTAAAGGCAGAAGAGGGAAGAGTAAGGAATGGGTCTCTTAGGAGCAGACCTGTGAATAAGACAATTTTTTTTTAACATAGTCCTTGGCATTGTAGTAGGGATGGGCTCAGTGACTTAAAGTAACCACACCAGTTTATACAAAAAAGGAAGTCATAAAGAATATTTTAGGAGCTAGTATGTGGGCACCAATGTTGCTTGTCACAGTCATAGAGCTGTTGACTAGAATTGTGTTTAGTATCA